TGTTCTTTACTTGTTATACAATTTCGGAGCAGGAAGCTTGTCCCGGAAACTCTCTACTGCTAGCAGCCTAGGAAGTATGGAGGAAAGCTATTTTCTGCAAGCATCGTTGGACTCATATGATGGTTTATCCGAAAAGAGATATATTGGAGAGGCAACTTTAAGTCCACTCTACATGAAAAGCATGACCCCCAATGCGTTTGAATCAGCCCTTCGTCAGAAGGAGGGTGAACTTGCTTCCTACATGTCTCGTTTGGTATGTATTATTTTTGTTTGAGCTCCTGAATTCAAATATAACCGTTGAGTCCTTAGCTACATGTATAAACTGTGTGCTGAGTACTGGATATTTCCTGATTTCAAGTCGTGGGTCGTATCTTTACTGTTTAAATAGCTTATATCAACTAGCTTTATCTGGTGTTTACTTCAGGCTTCCATGGAATCCATCCGTGACTCTTTAGCTGAGGAATTAGTCAAAATGACCGCTCAGGTGAGTTTTCCATTTGCTACCCAGTTAAGTGGGAGCGAGGTTATCTGCTCTGCGTGCTTACTCAAATCACTTCCTTTAACCTTTATCTACTGCAGTGTGAAAAGTTGAAGGCAGAAGCCACCATGGTGCCAGGAATCCGGGCAGAACTAGAAGCCTTGAGGCGGAGACACACTGCCGCCCTGGAGCTAATGGGTGAACGTGATGAAGAGGTACACGCCTTTCTAATACTGGATTCTCTTGCTTTTCTGGTTAACTAAAATTTATCTTCAAAGATGTGAAGAAGCTTAAAAATGTTATTTTGACCAACAGTATCACTATATCACTTAAGCAGAAGACAATATGAGCTTAGTAGCAATTCGAATATCTTCTACCTCGTGTTAACGTATTTTTCCGACTCGTTCTGGTTTTCCCATAGGAAAATGAGAATATTATATGTTCTTGTCGTTGCCCACAATGTTCTTACATTCAAGTGATTTAAACTTTTCAGCTGGAGGAACTCCGAGCCGACATTGTAGACTTGAAGGAAATGTACAGAGAGCAAGTAAACTTGCTTGTGAACAAGGTATTTCCCTTTGTTAAAACGTCATCTCAATTTATACATAACGCTATCTACTTATTTTTCCGATTCTAAATTCTATGCTAAAAGCTTCCTGTTTGCATTTGACAGATCCAAATAATGAGTTCTTCGTCGGGTAATTCTTCGTAAGCAATTATCTTCTTTTTTGTTCTTTTAGGTGTGGTAATTTCGAAGAAAGGATGTGTGCATGATGTAGTTAAATGCCTACAGAAATTTTGTTCTCAAAACTCAACTAGTTCAAAGAAGTGCTTTGTTGAGGGAGCAATAGTCTGCCCTTGAATGATTTTTCTACTTTTCTTGTAAAGAACAAATCTAGCCAACATGAAATTGACTCGATCGCCTATTTTTTTGACATGGTATATGAATTTATGTTTTTTGTAATAAAGAGAATATGGTTATATAGAAATGGAATATGTATATATATAGTTAACATCTATAGTGATTAGCTACAATATCCCTTGTATCTTATGTTTTGTAGATATTTCGAGTGTATTTTTAACCAAGTTGTGATCATTGTATTTTTAGTCCAAAGATGCACATTGCATTTGAAATGTATAGTTTGGCTCACGCTACTAAGCTTAGTATCAAAGCCCCCAAGAACATATGATCACGAGTCGGATCGAAACACGTTGAATTTAGATAAAATGATAATCGTTAACACCCATAACATTCATCTTTAACATTCCACACGATGTTTATATACACAATACGATTGTTTAAACTGGTTTAAACCGATATCTTAAGTTGTTTATTATTAAACTTTTATTAATTTGCGTGATGTTTGTGTATTAATCGGAAATGATTCTAAGTATACCAACATTAGCTACATCCAATGTGGTGGGTTTGGAAGTTAGAATAAAAGCGTGGTAGTTACATATTATTTAATCAAAATTTACATATAACTTTTATAAATTAAATATTGATATTGGTAGAATGTTAATAAACTTTTAGCTTGACTCAGTGATCAAGCTGTCGCTATTAATTTCAATGACCTGGGTTTGAATTTTAGAGCCATCCAAATTATTTATTTTGTTGTGGTAATTTAGTATAATTTAAATATAAACTGTAATGAAATGATTGCATGCAACATGTTTAGTTCAATAATTAGGTGCATGGTCTCTTTCCAAGAGGATAAGTAATGATTCCCTCAATTGCATCTTTGGCATTTGATTTTAGGGTACTACTAAAGATACCAACTTTTTCTAAACATACCAAGTCAAACCACTACCTATTATTTTAAATAATCTACCACACTGAAATTCATCATAAATAAATCTCACTACCCATTAAATAAAACCTCATAATATTTAGAGTTTCACATTAAACATAATATTTAAATTTTAAAATCATAAAATAACATTTAACAGTTAATCTGATAAAACATGAATACCTATTGATTTTCAAGTGATTATAGTCTTCAAATTTGTGTGTTTTTTAATTTAATAATTTGAAGAAAAAAATTTGGGTATCTGGGTACTCGACATACGGGTACCCGCAAAATCCAGGTACCAGATTATCGGGTACCCGAAACATCCGAGTCGGGACACGGACCGAGAAATCACCAACCCAGATTTGCACACCCCTAGCGCACATTGGTTTATGCTTGGCGTGCACAATTCCATCTCATCCATTGATTTTTGGCCATCGTGTTATTAACCGTTAGATGATCTGACTAATGTTAGAATATAAAAGTTGCATCTGCATGAGAAACCCATATGTTAGTCGTAAGGAAGAGTTAAATATTAATAACAAAAAATATCTTCGAATTTTTTATATATTTTGAGTTAAATCAGAAAAAATTATGAATTGAGAATATATATATTAAAATAATAAAAAAATAGTAGGTTCTGATTTGTTAAAATTATTTCTATTTCAATTTAATTTTATTTTTGTTACATATTAATTTTATTTTTCTTTGAATTTTCAGGTATCACAAATATTTTTAATCGAACAAATTTATAGCAGATATAAGATTTTTGATCGAATAACACCAACCCGTGCGTCACACATTAACATAACCCATTTGCCCATTTTTATTTCTTTGCCACCCATACACCCTACATATTTATTAAAAAATAATAAAGAAATAAAAATATGCCCTCTCTTTCCTTTTCTATTATTCTATTAAAAGAATTGGTATGTTTAGTAAAACATTTGGTACATTTAGACACACCCTTGATTTTATTCTCTTAAAGTGTGACACGTGTCAAAATTTTATTGATCGAAAAATTCTTTAAAAATATCACTTAGATGCTCTCATAGTGAAAGAGAAAATAAAGTAAAAAATATTTTCTTTATAAATTTTTAACTGGTGATTAAAATAAAATATAATCTAATATTAATTGTAAAAAAATAATTAATGACTAAAATAAAAAATTGTAATAAGTGAGAGACTAAGAGATTAAAGGGGTCCCACGCACGTTAGTAGTGTCGATGACGACGATGATGATTAGAATGAGATTGTAATATATTAAATTTGAATTTATAATTAAAGTAATAGTTAGTTTTTCTTTTTAAAAAAACCGAAAAAGGAAATAAAGTGGGTTTTTTCATATAAGATATATACTACTATATTGATAAGAAAAAAAGAAAAAAAAGGGAAAGACGAATAAACACGTGGAGCAACTATTATTATTATTATTATTATTATTATTATTAAAACTTTAATTAAAGGGCCTCACGTGGGCCCATGTTTGTTGAAATAGAGAAATATATTATATACTAAACGGTAAACAATACATTTAACACCTCAACTATCAATCTTGTTCGGTTTTAGTCATCCAATTGTTTTTTGTTTTAAAATCATACTTAACATATGTTTTGGTTTTATTTTATCACTCACAGTTAAAAAAATTAACAGTAATGTTGACATGTTATCATAAATCAATATCATGTCATCATTGATTTTTTTTTAAAATGCGATGCAACAATTATATTAATATTTTAATGGTAGGTGACCAAAACGTAAAATTAAATATAATTTTGAACAAAAAGTAGTAGATGATTAAAATGAAACAAAGTAATAGTTAAAGTGTTAAACTTGTAGTTTAACCTGTACTAAATGGTAGGACAAAAACAAAAAAGGTTGCTGTAGGTTCTACGCATGTTGAGAATATATATATATATATGGGACAATATACAATTATATAGTATAAAACTTTTTATTTTTGTATCTTTTTAAGATAGTTGGATGAAAATAAATCAAGAAATTAAGATTAATTATAAGAAATATGAAATATTCAAAAAATTAAAATGCAAAAATAAATACATCACTACAGATATATAAATTAAAATACATCATTACACAGATATAAAATACATACATTAGATTAACAAAGTAATGAAGTAAAAAGAACAACAACAACAACAACAAAACCCAATTCCCATATGTATGGGGTAAGGGGGAGGTAGGGTTGTAGGCTGCCCCCAACGTCAGGTTGAGAATAGCTTCCGTGAAAGAACGTTCATGCTATTAATCTTAGATAAAAGTAATAATATCAGTATTAAAAAAATTGTTGTTAGTCCTTAAGGTCTTTGGTTCGAGTATCAAGAATGTCAAAAGTATAAATGTTTAATGTCAAAAAATTGATAGTTACCCTTAAATAAATACTACCGATAAAAAATTAAATCATCGTTACAGGAATGTTACGTACGATTATTTTTTTTACTAATTAACGAAGTTTGTTTCGAAGTAAAACACTAAACCCCCAATCAGTTTGGTTCACGGTTACCAAGTAACCTTGTCAAGGTCACGTTAAAATAGTTAATTGTATTAGAAAAGTTAAAATAAAAAATCAATAAAGTAAAATGGCAGACAAATCTCATGTCCGCCGTCGGCGCTGTCGTTTTTAATTCGATGGCTGCTCCCTCTTTTACTAATTTAGTATGCAATATATCAACCATTAGCTGTCATGTGTGTGTGTTATAACAAGAGAATCTTGTGTGTGAGAGAGATTAGAGACGGTAGACAAAGATAATGACCGAAAGCATTTCACGGGAGCATTTCCAGTTGCAGAGATCTCTAAAATTGCTCGACGACGTCGCATCCGGTGCTGTCGGCAACGAGCTCGAGGCTCGAAGCCTTCGTGATCTTCAGATCATTCAAGCCGACGCCGGTTTCTTACGTTGTAACTTCATCGTTCCCGCTCACGCTTCCGTAATCTCTCTCTTCTTCATGTCCTTAGTTTTAATCGCGTATGCATGACGGCATATCTTCTGCTTATTTCCGGGGGAAAAATCAAATAGTTAATGAGTTTTTCTTTTATTTGCTTATCACGCAGGATATAAATGGAAATTGGCATGCCGGAGCCATAGCGACTATAATCGACAGTGTTGGTGCCACTGCCATATACTCCGTCTGTCAACATGTAAAAGTCACCGTCAATTTCAACATTCAATATCATTCTACGGCTAAGATTCAGGTTAATTTGCTTGCTCTTCTTAAATCTTACTTTTCATCATGGGTGCGTTTGGTTATTAATGGGAATAAAGATTATTAGGGAATATGATTACTGGGAATGTTGTATTTTGTGTTTGGTTAGTTTAAAATGAATGTAAGATTACTGTGTTTGGTTAAAAGAATAAAAGATTATTGGAATGTATATTTTACCAAATTATCATTATTATATATTTGTTTTTTTAACAAGTTAAATTCTACTATAATATTACTATAATTAATTTATATATTTTATTTAAAAAATTTAGATTCATAAAATTTATATAATTTACAAAATTGAAAATATAAATAGGTTTAATGAAAGGGTAAAATTTTATTCTAACCCCTGAATTTCATATAAAATTCTAATTATAGAATTTTTTTGTAAATCTAAAATAGTTTAAGGATAAATTTGTAATTAAACCTTCGTAGAATTTTTATTATTCAAATACAGAAGAATGATATTTTTGAACGAAAAAAAATTAAGGGTATTTTAGTCCAAAACATCGGTAATCTAACAATACCTAAGAGAAGAGAGGTAATGACATTCATGATAATTTACCCTAAAAAATTCACTGTTGGTAATAAAAGATTACCGGGGACTGAGAATGTTGTCCAACCAAACGGGGGAATAAGATTACATTCCCCTGGTAATCATAGATTACCTGAACCAAACACCCCCTAAAACTAAGGATGTTGGTTCACGGAATGTAAGATTACCAGTGTGAAAAATTACTAGGAATAGGATTACTGAGAATGTTGTATTTTGTGTTTGGTTGGTTAGCAGGAATGTAAGATTATCGTGTTTGGTTAAAGGAATAAAAGATTATTGAAATGTATATTTAACAATTGTCTTATTTATATTTGTTTTTAAACAAGTTGAAAAATATTATATTTTCTTTAAAAAAATTAAATTCATAAAATTATATTTTTTTTTACCAAATTGAAAATATAAAAAGGTTTAATGAAAGGGTAAAATTTTATTTTAACTCCTGAACTTCATATAAAATTAATTATAGATTTTTTGTAAATCTAAATAGTTTAAGGATAAATTTGTAATTTAACCTTTATAGAATTTTTATTATTCAATGACATAAGAATGATATTTCTGAAAAGAAAAAAAATTAAGGGCATTTTAGTCCAAAACACCAGTAATCCAACAATACCCAAGGAAATGGAGATAATGACATTCCCGGTAATATATCCCAAAAAAATCCACTATTGGTAATAAAACATTATCGGGAATGAGATTCCCGACCAACCAAACATGAGAATGTGAATTCCATTCCTATGGAAATCTCACAAAACTTGAACCAAACACCCCCTAAGGGCAAACCACACCAGTAATCTCTGATCTATTTCCCATTTTTCTACTTTAATCATTATTCTTTTTTATAAAATCTATTTTAATCATTAAACTATTTTTTTTACAAAATTTCACTGACCTTTATTTTTCTATTTCAATTACAGGTCGTCATAAAATTATTAGTGATATAAAATTATTTTTTAATTTTTTATATCATTTTTCTCCTATCATCAGTTGTCCACGTGTTGATTCATTTCATTAACTATTTTGCTTAATTTTGAACTAGTATACAATTTAATTTAAATAATTATTTTTATAGAAATTTACTAAATCTTTTGTCTAGTCTAATGACAATAACATTTTTCCCTTGATTTTATTTATCAAATATCATAAGATAATGATATATGACATCATCGTACTGATAGAATAAAATAAAATCTCGTTAATTTTTTAATATATAGTGATTAAAATAAGAAGATGCAACGGTAATTTAATTTTATCAGAAAATAATAATTTGGTGATCAAAATAAAATAATAGAAATATGTTGATGAGTAATAATATAATTTACTCTAAAATTAGTGTAGAGCAAACGTTATTAAAACATTAATTCTGGTGTTAATGAAAATTAAAAGATATGATGCAGGAAGAGGTGGAGATAGAGGCAACGGCAAACGGAAACAGAGGAAGCTTTCGTCTGTGCTGGTACAGGTTCGAAACAAATCTAAAAGGACGTTGATTGCAGTTGGTACTCAATGGACGGCTGCTAACGACTATAGATCACCTCGACCTAAAGCTAAGCTTTGAGAATTAAAATATGGATTGCATTTATTCATTGGAAAAATTTCAAATTATGACCGTCAAATTTGTACTAAATCTTTTAAATGAATAAAACGTGTGCTCTTATTATTAATCCTGTCTGAGGAATTAAAAACTTCATTATTATTATATAAAACTATTAAATTTTACATTTAAAAATATTATATTCTAATAATTATATATTAATTATATTTTCACTCTTTTTGCATAAAGAATCAAATTTTTTAATAGATAAAGACCATCTTCTAAACAGACTGGGCCCTTAATTTGTTTTTAAGAAATTGGAGTAAAATTTCAAAAAATATTTATATTAATTTTAAGTAATCATGAATTATTGTTAAAATCATATCATTTTAACAAAAGAACAAAAAGGTGTGGAGTGAAATAAGATTGAAAGAAAATTTTTGAAAATCAATTAAAATTTTAAATGATAGAAATATCATTTCAACTTAAATATATGATCATATCAATTTAATAAAATTAATTCTAAAGGTGTAAAATTTTAAATAAAAAATATTATACATTAAAACTTTAGAAAGCAATATGACACAATACAATATACAAATTTTATTTCATTCACTATGATAATTATATAAAATAGGCGATAAAATAAGAAATAACACAAATATAACATGGACATACAATTTATTCCATAAAATAAATTATACAAATCCGATACATCATAGGAAAATGGCAAACATAATTAGCATATATAAAGATATTAAAATCTATATAAAATAAGATATAATAATGTAAAAACATATACAATATATAATACTAACACAGAAAATAATACGGATATAAATATGTAAAATTAACAACATTAACAAAATGAACACAATGATAAAAATCACATAAATAATATTAATATGCTAAATTTATATAATAGCCTAATTCCGCCCGACCCGTAAATAGGATCCGATTTCAAACCATAACATATTTAAAGAAAAACTTCAACTAGACAGGCACAATAATTTTAAAGTCTAGTTTAAAAACAAAAGGAAACCCACCCAATCTTAAATTTTGGGTGCTGTGGGGATACACTAACATTTCTTACGTGTAACTCATTCGCGTATCATAGTTTAATCTTGGTGTTAGATCTAAATTAATATTTATGAGTATTTGGTCGTACCTAGCATACAACGGCTTATGATGAGTTTAACCACGTGACAAGTTTTTCAAAAACTCAATATATTTGAACTATTGTGAGATGATTTCACAATTTCTATTTTGAAAATCCATGTTTAGATATGTTTGAGTTTTTTAAAGGATAAGATCGGGTTGGATTTGAGTTTAAGATGCAAAATCATGACTTGATCCAATATGAGATAAGATTATGATTATCTCATAATATATTTAGAGATAATTATAATAATATCATTCTCTCTATATCTTTTCAATGACATGATGATAAAATTACCCGTTCATGTTTGTGTAAATGAGTATTTTGGCGCATATTCTTTTTCTGGAGTATTTTCGCTTTCAGCGTTTAAATTTTTTGTAAAAATACCCCCTATTTTAAGAAAACAACTAGTGATTAACAATCAATACATGTTGTTGACGTGACACATGCTTAATTTTTTATATGGCATATACAACGTCACTAAAGTGATGGCATGAGAGGAAATATGGGAGGAAATGAGAGTTCATCAAGCAAAGGTCTCTTGGCACAATCATTTGGTTCCACTCCACATTCCCAAGCTGAGTATTATCTCCTGGATGGCTTTGCTGGACCGTCTTCCTACTCGGGACAGAATCTCTAAAATGGGAATTATTACTGATGATTTATGTTATTATGTAATGAGTTGCAGGAAACAGAATCACTTGTTTGCGGAATGTTCTTATGCTACTTCGCTGTGGAATTCAATCATGAACCTTTCAAATATGTGTAACATGCATTCTTCCTGGGAATCAAGGATAAGATGGGCTGCTCAACAGTGGAAAGGCAAATCTTTGATTACTACCATTCTGAAACTTTCTTGGACTGCTTTCATTTACTCGATATGGGAAGAAAGAAATAGACGAATTTTTAGAAGAGAATCAAGATCTCCTGAACAAATATTACAGATTGTAAAGGACTTTGTTAGAACCAACCTTAGCGATAGGAACTTCAATAGAACAGATGATGTTAATATTAACTTATGTAACTCATGGGGTATTGACTGATCATTATTTGTTTGTAATTAGCGTTTACTCCATTTAGGTTGTTCTTGTATACTTTTTCCATTGGATAATAAAAATTTTACTTATCCAAAAAAAAAGTGATGGCATGACATATGTCATGTCACCCGAAGTAATGATGCTCCACATACTTTGTCATCCAAAGTGATGATGTAACACATAATATATCACATGATTTTTAAATGTCACATGAGTTTTAAATGTTGATCGTTAAGCAACTAATAGTTTCCTTCTAACATGAGATACTTTAACCAAAAATTAAAACGAGAGGTAAAATGTTTAAAAAAAAAAGGGGCCAAAGTCACCTTTGTGTAAACATTAGAGAATAATTTTATCATTATGTTTTTTTTTTAATTATGTCTCTATTTTATCTATTAAAATTGAAAGTTATGTATATTTGTTTCGAGCCAAATATAAATTTTTACTCCAAAAATGAAATTAAATAGTCTTTTTATGCTCAAATCAGATCAAATATATAGAATACTTTAATTGAGTTCGGGCGACACAAAACTAAACCCTAACCACCGCATTGTCATCCATTTATGTATTAAACACGGGCTCAATATCAGGATCATAAGAGCTATCTATACCAAAAAGACCACAAATATGGCTAAGGTATCACTACATTGCTCCAGTGACACCCAAACTTTCATCAAAATCATAACTCTCATAGGCCGATTAAAATGTTAAATCACCGGCAACAACCCAAGAACAATCGCAGATACTATCTTTAAAGGAGACTGAATTCCTCTACAATCCCCTTCTACCTTCTCTACCATTACTCCATAAACGAAGGAAAAGAAAAAAGATTCATCCTCCCTTCCCAACAAACAATGTAACACGTGATCAGTTTGACTAATCACATCAATCTGTCAACCAATTTTTATATAAAATCAATATTAAATTTAAATATTAAATAACTAAACATAAAAAAGTTCATATAGTTTGAGATATATATTTTTTAATAATTTATAGTGAATATAAAATAATATATGTTTAAAAAAATTAATTTATTGATAACGAATACAAACTTTACTTATATAATTACTAAAACTTAAATCTATTGTAAAGGATAATATTTTGTTTTACCAGTGAGATTAGGATAGAAGAATTTTGTTCAAAAGGAAATATAACCAATAATATTAAATGCTGAGCTACCAAATTTGGCCCCCTTAAAAATAATATAAAAGAAGCTACCAATGTGGCATTTTCAATGGATCTGAGAATGGAGGAACATGCCATTATACAGAAAACCCTGAAATGGTTAGAAAATCTATCAAAAGGAAACCTAAGCCACCAACTGGAGGAACTAACCCTAGAAGGACTCCAGATTATCGACGCCCACAAGGGTTCTATACGCTGCAGTTTCGTCATTCCTAGTCATGCTTCAGTAAACACAAATCTCAATCTCCTTTCACTTCTATATGTATATATATATATATATTTACTCTCTCATAATCTGTTTTATCGAAACTCGAATAAGATAACGGTCTAACTTATATTTGTAGGATCGAGATGGGAATTGGCATGTTGGAGCCATGGCGACGTTGATCGACGACGTTGCAGCTGCTGCTATTTATTCCATCGTCGACCATGTTAAAGTCTCTTTGGATTTCAGTATTTCGTTTCATTCGACGGCCAGGATTCAAGTCAGTCTTCTTGTATGATGGTGAAATCTCAAGGTGTTTTCTTTTTTGTTTGAAGATTGAGTGATTTTGAATGGCGCAGGAAGAAGTGGAGATAGAGGCGAGGGTGGTGGCGGAGAAGGGAAAGCTAGCGCAGCGGTGGTGGAGATTAGAAGAAAGGAAACGGTGAGCTAATTGCTTCGGGGAAACAATGGATGGCGACGCATAAAGCAAGTGTTAAGGCATCCCGAGCGAGTAAGCTTTGAAGCTTTTAAGGTGTTTAAATGGGGCAAATAGCTTTTTTATTTTATTTTCAGAGATTCCATTAGCTTGTGCAATTAAAAAGCAGCAGCTAAAACGAGACGAAACTCTTGATAACTTCATTGATATTAAATCATTGGAAACATATAGATGTGTTTATCGTCTGCTTCAAGTGTCCTTTAGTGTTCAAGAATACAATGTTGGTTTGATGGCTTTGATTTTGATTTGAAAATTATAGATTTTCATTCTATTTCGATCTGTACGAATAAGCGGGCATGTGCCCTTACTTTAAAAAATAGGGTAAAGACTCTTTTGGTCCCCTAGTTTTCAGAAATATCCAGTTTTACTTGGTAAATTATCCGAGTAAGATCGAGTTAGAAATTTTTTAACCTAAACCTAACTTTTCCCTGATCCTTACTCTCCCCTTCATAATATTTGATCTATCCCAAACTCGAATTAGAAAATGACCTTAATAAATCGAATCAGATTATATCCTTGAATTTGGATACTTTAACCATCTCTAATTAATAAATATTAGATGATATGATGGTTACGAGCTATTCACTCAATTGAGAGGAGAGTGATACACTCATAAAAAAAGAATAGGTTTGACGAGAGTCTGGAATATTTCTCAGTAGTTTAGTTTATATATATATATATATAAGCAATTAGTTTTATTTTAAGGGTAAATTATATAAATAGCCCCCTAATTTTTAAGGCGCTTGCATTTTGCTTACCACAACTCGTTAGTTTTATCTGACGTGACACGTAACCCTTCTCTTCTTCTTCTTTTGGCTAAAAAACCCTTACTTACAACATAGATGAAACAACTTTTAATTAATCAACAAATTATATTTCCAATACACATAATCCAAACCAGACTAGCACATTTCATGCATAATCTTGCCTCCATTGATGGTGGATTGGTTACACAACTTTTACAACTTGCAATACAGTCAGTGAACTTTAGTATGTTTTCAATAAGGTCCCTAACGTTACCTCTCGTTAGCTTTATCTGATGTGCACGTTTACTCCGTTAACCCTTCTTCTTAGCAATATAAATTTTTTGATCCTGCATTTTGGATAAAAAAACCCTTAGAACAGAGATAAAACAACTTTTAATTAATCAACAAATTAAATTTCCAATACATATAATCCAAACCAGACGAGCACATTTCCAGCATAAGCTTGCCTCCATTGATGGCGGATTCTAAATCGATCCTCAAGGCAGGCCGATGTATTGATTTCTCTGTACATTTGTATGCTGATTAGATTCAACAACACATTGTTATTTGTAACTTAGTGAGCAGAGCCTTTGTTTACATTCCTCTAACTGAACCACTTCTTGGGAATTAGATGAATAAGAACGAAGTCCATGGCCGATAGTTCTCTACGATCCTTTCGGATGCTCCATAGGATCTCCCCATACTTTCTCATTCCAATCCGGTTGTGTCGATGAGGAGCCAGGCATTGTAAGGCTAACTCGAGAATCTTTTCGCAGACGATCATCATTAATGCAACTTTCAGTGTTCCTTTTGGAATAAAATTGGAGAAGATGATCCAATATACAGTACGCGTTCAAATTCTCAAAAAGCGGTTCTTGTGAGAGATGATACGGCTTTTCCTTGTGGGATAAAGGTTGGTCATTATTTTGAACCATGGATCTTCTTCCATAAAGGGAACCTGGTGGAGTTATGTACAATCATAAAACTATTATATTCTGGTTCGATAGCGTTACTAGTTCAACCAATAATACACTAAATGAATAAGCATCACTCTTTTCAGTTAGTTGATAGGTTCTCACAACCAACCTAGCGAAACCGAAGTCGATAATTTTGGCTCAAAAATTTTCGGTAAAGAGAAAGTTGGAAGACTTTATGTCTCTGTGATTGGGTTAATTGGGTGATCTACAAGAATTCAATGCATAATCTTGTTAATCTTCCCATTCATATTTCTCCAACAACAAAGTCTTGTTTAAAATGCTATATTTAAAGGAACGTGTATGCATATGAAGATAGTGATTGCATGGGCCATCATAGCTATATCATGCCGTGCAGCAAGGTAAAGAAACTTTTCCATGCACACCTGTAAACAATTTTCTCGTCTTTCAACTCTCAAAATTGCAGCATAAAGAGGATGAATAAAAAAACGCCAAGTTATGTCTAAGTCCAGCATTTGAATCTCAGACATGCAAAGGTGGTGAAGGGTTTTAGTTTAGAGAGTAAGAAGAAGAGGAAGAAGAAGGTTAATGGAAGAGGAAGAAGAAAGTTAACGGAGATAACATGCCACATCCCCTAACTGATAGAAGGTAACGACAGGAACTTTACTGAATAAATTAAAAATTCGATAATTGTATTGTAAGTTTTAAAAGTTGGATGACCAAAATGCAATTGCCCTAAAAGTTTGGGAACTATTTATACTTTACCCTTATTTAAAAAAAACTCAACATTACAATGAACATATAATTAGGACATATATTTATAATCATTAACACAAGAAACTAATCACTTTAGATCATACAAGTATCATATAAAGAAAAAGTTAAAATTCATAATAAAAAATTCGAACAAAAGATATATAAATAGATCTGGTTGTATTAGTAAACGAACCATAACAGAGGATCAACTATTGAAAGATTACTGGCAATCCAAAATCAAAGTCAAATGTTGTGAGAAACTATCTCCGAATACAAATCGAATATCTAAATCCAATCTAAATGTCCAAAGTAAGAAAAATCAAATATCAAAATCCAATGTGGTTGTTGTATATATACAATATTTTAAGTGCAACATGCTTATTTTACCCAAACAATTTATTTGGGTTTCATGTTCTTGATAACAAAAACTGTCAAATTGCAATTCCGTCCCCCAAGTCAGCAGAAGTGGTGATGTAAGAACAACGTCAGGCTTACGAGGCAGCAAAAGGTGGAAGTAGGTTGGCCCGGTTCATATGGATTGAGTGCAAACTGAAAAGGTTGTCGTGTTGCAGTTCTGCCACTGCTGCCGGTTGCTCGTCTTTCAAGCATTCCCTTTCCACTTAGATATGGCTAACAACAACAAGGATGGCTATCATGAGTATTCATGAATATTTTTATTTAAGGTAAATTATCTAGTTTGTCACTAGCTTATTATTTTTGTTTTGGTTACTCAACTATTACTTTTTAAAATCATGTCTAACATTATGTTTTTGTAACATGCCGTTAAAAATAAAAAGTGATGCTAACATGATACTTTTTTTTTATTTTCAATCTTGATGTGGCATAATCTTATATGACACATCAATATCACAGTTAATTTTTTAAAGATGAGTGATCAAAACAAAATCAAAAGGTAATGTTAGGAATGATTTTTAAAGTAAATAATAGTTGAATGACCAAATCATAAAAATAAGTTGATGACTAAGTAAATAATTTACCCTTTTTGATCATAGGGTGGGCCATGACTTAAGTAGGCCTAGATACATCTATGATGGTTTCAATAGTAGAAGTTAATATTATTTTTAAAAGATTTAAGTTTTAATAGTTATGTTTATTACGTATTGTTAATTATAAAATTTTTTGAATATATATTACCTTATAATCATCGAAATTATTAAAAAAATAATTATAAAAAAACCAATTTGAGTGTATAATGCAAAATTTAACTTTTTATTACTAATTTTTCTCCCACAAAAAGTGTTCATTCATGTTACATGGATATAATTCTAACTATATTCGATTTTGGGTTCAAGGTCGAGATAAAATAAAAAATATATTTTTTTTAACTTTTTTCACTCATAAATATCATCCTCATGTAATTTATAAATTAAGTAGACCCTTAAAAACACTCTCGTAAAGGAAAATATAATTTATCAGGATAATTCTAACTATACTCTTCGATTTTGGTTCAGGTCGAGAAAAAATAAAATAATATTTTTTTAACTTTTTTCACTCATAAAATATCATCCTCATGTAATTTATAATTAGTAGACCCTTAAAAACACTCTCGTAAAGGAAAATATAATTTATCAATTAAAAATAAATGTTTGTAAAAATAAACTCACACACAAATACTCGAACAATTTTAACAATAATAACTCACGTGTGTTACAACAAGATAAGACAACTAAACTTTAAAATATCTTGAATTGGTATATCTTTTTAATGAGTTTCTCATAATCATTTGGCCAATTTATTGTTTATCGAATTTTTGGAGAGAAAGGGAAATAGAAGTGAACTTCTTACATAGATGAAGCAATGTCAGAGCAAAGGAGAACTAAAATACAAGCTATCCTACATCAATAATAATAATAATACAGGCGAAAAAAGATGTAAGAACAATTAATATTAGCTACTTTGGAATGCAATAGCATCATGAGCAATCAGCCTTATGATTTTCAGCAGAGTGACTGCTAATGTTATCCCCTTCCATGGCCCATCAAACCATACTTTAATCTTAGCTCCCAAATATATTATCCTTAAAAGCCGCCGCCGAAGCCGGCGGCGCCCAGTAATCGCCACCGTTGTCACTTCCAACTTGTGAGTGCAAGATACAGGAACCAAGCACAGCCCCCTACTCCTCAAGTCCTTTGCGTTTTGCTCTTGCTTCTCCTGTTATTATCGTTATATTATCAAACGGATAAACATTTTCAAATTTAAATAAAGTTATAATAATAGCAGTAATGATGATGATTCATGCTTATGACACTTTTTCTTAACTTTTTTTTTACCTTTTAGATTACTTATGCGTTCTAAACTATGCTTTTGATCATAGCTTTATTCACTTAAATGTGTTTTAAATTATGCCTACTTTGCTTTGTGAGGTGATTGATCCAATAAAGTTTTTACCTGTCCTTCATCTTCAGGAAATGCAGAACTCCTTTCTCCTTGAACCTTTAATTATAAAAAAAAATACCAATTAATTAATTACATATAATTGCATTGGGAATGGGTGTCTATATATATATATATACATACATGTATATGGGTACTTACAGATTGTTGGTTTCTCATGTTTGGAGTTGCAGAACC